TACCAGTTAGATGTTCCATAGATGGCGACCTCATAGAATTATAGGTAGCACTGAAGGAGTGACTAATTCATTGATTTCAAGGGCAACAATGGATACAGATAGGTAAGAGAAGTTGATAATCTGTTTTTGTGTTTTAAGGATGTTGTAAGGGGATGGGAGGCGTAGCTTAGTGGTAGAGCACTTAATTAGCATATGCAAGGCCCAGGGTTCTATTCCAATGGGGGTGGGGGGGTGGGGGGATATATTTTAAGATATAATGGATGAGGGGCCAGTGAGATAGCTCAGTAGACTAAAGCACCTGCTTAGTTAAGTTTAGGCAAATACAGGGACTGCAGTTCGATCCCTGGTACCACATATGCTGCACCAGCCATGCCCCCATGGTGGGCTGAGCAGGCTAGAGTCCAGCGTAGTGGCACACACCTGTAATCCCAGTGCTGGGGATGCTGAAAGCAAGATTACCAGGAGTCTGAGCTGTGTAGTAAAACCCTGTAACAACCAAATACATTTAAAAAATAAAAGAGATACAATTGGTATAAGCATACACACCAGATACCATCACCACAAGCAAGGTAATAAATATATCCATCACCGATGTGGGTGTTATGGTTTGAGTCTAGTTGTTCCCCCTCCCTAAAGCCTCATGAAGTCACTGGGGTGGGCTTCTAGAATTGGGATGAATTCATGATCCAATGCTGGGATTTGGGTGTGAGTGTTACACACGTGCAGAGCCTGAATGCAATATAAGGAAGGAGAGAGACATGTTTTCTGCAACCGCTGCTACTCCTCTTTTGCTCTTGCTTTTCGCTGTTTTCTGCCACCATGAACTGCTACCCTCTGCCATTTGCCACTCTACCTTGGAGCCAGCAAGTGTTTACTGAAACCTGTACTGTGAGCTAAATGAACCTTTTCTTCCTTCATTTGGAGTGTTGGGTATATTATCCCAGCAACAAGAGAAAAGTAACCGAGACAATGGGTCCTTTTGAATTTATTCATTTACTTTGGTGTGACCAGCAGGTGGTAGGAACACTTAGAACGGGATCTAGGCTCTTCAACACTTTTTTAAGTGAATGATATCATGTGTTAGCTACTAGACAGCGTCAGCAGCAGATTTCTAGAATTTATTCCACTTGGGTAACTGTAATTTTAGTACGGTTTTTGTAAAATAAATATATTTTGCAAGAGATACATGCATATATGTGTACAATGATTATAATTTCTTACGATGTGACGACATCTCGTCTCCATGTCAGGCAGGCTGTTGATAGCAGAGACCTTCAGATGGGGTAAAGAGGTGGAGAGAAATTATACAGAGAAAATTTTCTTATCATGGCATCAATGAAGAGAAATGTTGTGACTTTCAGACTGACTACTTTTTGGGCAAGATTTTACAAAGTTAACTATGGAAAACAAAGAAAAAATGTAAAAAGTAAACAGATGTGTGGTCTCTGGCACATGGGTGCTCGCACACAGCTGGCACTTGAGTCCTGCCAGGCCCCAGGGGAAAAGCTCTGACTCCCAGGCATCAGCCCCTCCAATGGGAAGTCCGATCCAGTCCGGTGCGGTTCGATTCAGTCCATCTACGCTGCTCTGGCTGCCCTCTTCTCCACTGACATCACATGCCTAGAAAAGAATAAAATATGGGCCTTTTAATAAAGGAGTGAGCGGTCTGTATATGTTCATAAGCTAAGAACTACTTTTCAAAACCAGAAGTGTATTTCAGGTGTGAGCAGCACTGAAAACAGAAGGCGGTGGCAGGCCCCTGTAAGCAACAGGTCTCCAGGCCAGCCCGGAAGCATTTCCCACGACACTGTGTTCATCTTGCCTGGGTCCTGCCCTTCCGACTCAGGTGAGCGTAACCGACTGGCTTGCTAGCAAACCCAAGGCTTCCCTAGATGTAAAAACCTGTAACAATTTTTTTTTCCTGAAACAAACTCAAATAAGAAGCTCACCTCTTCCTTTGAAACATGTGCTGGATAGACTCTAAAATATCCCCAATTCTTGATGGATGGCAATCGTGTCCCCAGCCCCATCTCCTTGAACTGTGACATGAATAAGAAATGCGCCTGTGTTCATTGTGCCAGTGCCCGGGCAGCCAGGGGATGCTCGTTGCAGCAGCCAGCGGCCTCTCCTGCCTACTCTGTCTCTTCTCTGCCCCAACCAGCACTTGCCAGTGGGAAAATAGCCTGTCGCCAAATCTCTTGGTCATATGATTCGTTTTTTAAAAAGAAAAGCCAGAAATCTGAATTTTTAATTTCCTGATTTAAAAATGTTGGCCACTAAATCCAATTTATTATTATTTCAGATGCTCTGTGAGCCAAAGGAAACACATCTGTGGGCTCCACGCGGCCCATGGGCTGCCAAGTGCAACCTCTGGGCGAAAAGCTCCAAATCCAACAGCATTCATTTTTAAATCTAAGAATTAGATTTAAAATTCTAAGAGCCAGTGCGCAGTCACGGTCATGTGGGTCCCAGAAAGCAGTTCAGTGCCCACAGGGAAGCTGAGCAGAGTTTTCATTTCCATTCCTACCAGACTTCCTAGTATTCTTCAAGTTTCTTGGCACACTTGGGCCACTCTATTGAAACTCTGGAGATATCAGCTCTGCAGCCCTGGGTGACCACGGACAGGTGAGTCAGGCCATGTTGGCCTAATCAGGTGCCACTTTGGCTTCAGTTGTGTGTGGGGGGGGTGGATACCAGGGACAACTAACCATTTTGTGGGGAGGAGGGATTACTGGGAATTGAAGTCAGGTCCTTTGCACTGAGCCACACACTCAGCCCCTCTTGTTTTAGTTATTATTTATACACAGTTTGTTGCTACATTGCCCTCGTGGGGCTGCAGTTTGTAACCTCTTGCCTCAACCTCCCAGAGTACTGAGACTGCAGGCACGGACTGCTGTGTGCTCAACCATATTTCAAAGGAGAGCACTAGAAGCCTTTGTGCTTGTACCCCAGCCATACTGTACACAGGCATGCCCATCGTCACCGCACTCAACTGCTAATGATAATTGCTACCACCAATTTCTTGAGCACTTAGTACATGCCAGCCCATAAAGCATGCCTCAGGTATCCTACCACTGAATCCTTTGGGTATCCTACTGTTATAACTCACTGTTCCTCTTCCAGTCCTTCTTTCTGTTTTCCTGTTTTCTAACAAATTTTTCTCAAGACCTACTAGGATTCACAGATGAGCAGCAGGGGATAATGAATGGACCGAGTGTAATTGCGAAAAGGCCAGAAAGCAGAAAGGGGACCCACTTGTGCCCACACATGGCTGGGCTTGGACAGCAAGGTCTTGCTTCCCCAGGTGGGAGGCTGCAGGCGGTGTTCAGGGCTCACCCAAAGGAGAAGTCTGACCAGAAATGGGGAAGCCTAGAGGGTGACTGTGGGCCAGTGGCTTCCTCTCTCTCCACGGGGCAGCAAGCCTGCCTGCCTCCTCCAGCTCTGGAAGCTGTCAGGGTGCATCATGACACTCCCCACCTGAATGCGAGAAGACTCAGAAGAAGTAAGGGGCTTCTCCCAAAGGCCCTTCCTGGGAAGCCATGGGTGCTTCCCGCCACGGTCCTAGCATTTCCTGATTGAGCGTCACCTCCGACATGACCTCAGTCTTGCTGCCTGTCAAGTGGGGAAAAGGCTCATTCCTGCCTCATGGGGTGCTCTGCTGACTCTTCTCTGCCATGCGCCTTGTGGAACACACTGAGAGTCCTCTGTGAAGTTCAGCTTCATCAAGACTTGTCCCAGATCTCAAGCAGGCAGAACAGAAGCACCCAGGGCACTGAATTATTCTGTATTGTTATTTCACAAGGAAAAGCAAAAATCAGGTATACTTATGCACATGCCTGTAATCCCAGCACTCTGGGAGGGGAGGCAGGGAGACTGCAAGTCCACCCTGCAGACTTTAGTGACTTAGTGAGTGAGACCTTGTCTCAAAATTAAAATTTTTATAAAAAGGTTGGGGATGTAGCTCAGTACAAAGGCCCTGGGTTCCATCCCTAGTACTACATAAGAAAGGCAAGGCAAGGAAGGACTGAAGGTTCAGGAGGGATCGTGAGGCCTGGGGCTCTACTTCCTGACATCACCGACCCAAGGACCTGCACAGAAGAGTATATAGGCTCCTTTGGCTGTTCCTGACCCAGATTTCCACTGCTTCTTACAAGGATGACAAGCACTATACCAGCAGGGGTAAAGGACACAATGGCAGGCTTTCTCTTTGCTTTCCTCCAGGGTCCAAGGCTTGATGGTTTGGGGCACAGACCTCTTGTTGACAGAGGACCCCTGGCCTAATCCCTCTTGGCCTAAACCTTGTATTCAGAAAAAAAAAAATTTTTTTTTTTTAGATTAGATTCTTAACATCATTTTCCAAAGATGCCACAGGAATGGTCCCAAGTACTGAGCGGCTCAGGGAGGCAGAGGGCTATCATGCCAAGGTCCTGTTTCCTGGACCCACTGTCCTGTGCCTAGCATGATGGCTGCACCTTGAAGTATGTGTCTGTATGTTTGTTCCATGTAAATGTTTATAACCTGTTGCAAAACTATCATTTTTATAAACCTGCTTTAGAAGTGTTGTTTGGTTTTGCAGATTGAAACCCAAGGCCTTTGCACTGAGTTGCATCCTCACCCTTTTAAAAAGGTTTTTTTTGGGGGGGTGTGTGGGTGGGGAGGAGGCAGGTATATAGCTCAGCAGCACATTGCTTGCCTAGCAAGCGCAAGGTTCTGAGTTTGATTCCCTGTGCTACCACCACCCAATTTTTTATTTATTTATTTATTTATTTATTTATTTATTTATTTATTTTAGTTTGAGACAGTATAGTGCTGTCACTAAGTTGCCCAGGCTGAGCTGGAACTTGCAGTCCTCCTGCCTCATGTTACCAGTGAAGAACCTGAGGCCCAGAAAGGTTAAGCGGTACCCAAGGTCTCCCACACTGGTGAGAAGTCACAGAGGGGAGGTGGATTCACTCTGTCAATCTACCTTGCAAAGGGGCTGGTGAGGATGCAGCGCCTCCATGGAGCTGCTCACCAGGGACAAGGGCTCCGTAGTCCAGCTGCAGTTTCTCATGGTGCCAGGTGCAGGACAGTGGCTTCAGAACCTGTGCCTTTGTTCAGGACAGCAGCATAGCAATCATCTATTGAAGACAAACTGCTGCAGGAGAAGGCATTCTTTGAGGTACCAGGGTCCCCAGCCCACGGTGAACCCCACCCCCAAGACTGCCTTGCCTCTGATACACTGCACTGCACACGTTTGCAGTGGCAGCCCAATGAGGACATGAGCCACAGGGTCATCGGTTCAAAGTCCTAGACATGAGCTGAAGCCAATGGGAGCTTCAGGAGCAGGTGGGCAGGAGGCCAGGATGGTGGGGGCCGCTGTCTAGTCCACGCCCTCTACGAGGGGGGGCACTCTGGGCTTCCTGGAGCTCAGGAGCACTGGCTGGGCTGGTTAAAATGTTTCCTGAGAGTGACACCCGTTGGCCAACAGAGGACAGCAAATACATTTTTTATGATCCTGAGCGGCTCAGTCCAGTCACGTTTTCACGCAGAGAGGCTGGGCGGTGGAGACCGGCAAATCCTGTCTTGGTTATTTGGATCCTCTTTGGGCAAGAGGGGCCTCTTCTGCAGTGGAGCTGGGGTCCCTGGATAGCGATTGGTGGTACAGATTTCAGGGTGGGGGAACAGGGCTCCCACTTAGCCTGAGATCAAAGTACCACATGGGTGGGGACATTCGTGGCTAAGGTTCCTCCCTGGCACCCTCACGATCCACGCTCCCCCAATTTCCAACACATCCCCCAGGGCCTGGGACTGTGGATGCAATAAAGTGACATTGATTTGGAGAGGAGAAAGCTCAACTTTATTTTTTGGCTTGAAGATGAATTGGTATTTTGGGGAGTTCTTGGGAATGGAGAGTGTCCCTGCAATTTCAGGTCTGGGATTTCCAGGGGACTGCAGTCATCCTAGAGTAGATCAGGGTCCCCAGGGGCCGGAGGAAGAGTTGGAGACCCGCCTGGCACGGTGCCAGTCCTAGGTTCAAGGGGATGGGTGCTGACAATTGGGGGAAGGGTTGAAACGCCGCTGCAACTGAAAGAAGGGGACAGCTCAGAGGGCGGGTCTGGATCTTACGTGGATGCGACCCGTTTCAGGCACCACTGAGCCCCCAGCTCACGCTCCCTTCAGCGAGCACTTTTGGAGCATTCCTCTCCCCTTCCTCGGGCGAAAGGGATACTGAAAGTAGGGACCCTCGCCCCTCCCCTGTCTCCTCAGTTTGGAGAACCCTAGGTTCTGCCCCCAAGGGCCGAGGCTGACGTCGCCCCGCATTTCTAGGAATGCCCCTATCCGAGACTATATTAGGCGAGGGTTTCTAGGAAGCCACCAACCCCCAAGGCCCCCACCGCCGCCGCCCCCGCCGCCGCCGCCCCC